CCGGATTTCTTAAGTTTCAAATGACGACCTCTGTTTTGCAATCGTAAATTTTTAGTTAAGGGAATCCTAAATATATAAATAGTATATATATTAGATGAAGAATGTAAAAAAAATTCAAAAATAATCATGTGAATCATTATCGTCGCCGCTTTTTAAATTCGGCAATACTCTGTCATTACATACGCGCGTGCACGCACATATACAGAGAAAAAGAGAGAGAGAGAGAGTGTGTGTGTGTGGGAGGGGAGGGAAGAAGGGAGGTGTTCGATTTTCGCCCACGACAGCAACTCGACAGTTATCGAACCGTTCATCCCACGCAGCCACCGCCTTCGTGAGCTTCGAGATCTCTCTGTCGTACGCGCATAATGCCGCAACATTCTCTCGCTTTCTCAGGTATCGCGTAAGCTTCGCTTATCTATTTCGCGCTCCCGCCCTTCCCCCTCGCTTTGTTCACTCGGCGCCTTCAGGCAACCCTTTCGCTACTTATTACCGAAGTGCACATGTCCACGTGTACATTTCAGTGTACACTGCTTCTGCGCTTTAATTTTCTTGTACTTACGTTTAATGTATATGCAGCTGATTTGTCTACACCAATCACGCCTAGCCAAAGGTATTTTTCTCGCGTAACACAGTGGTCCTCTGTAAACAAGAAACAGTAAATAAATATTTAGAAATATTAACTTTATGTTAATTTTTGTTTTTTATGCTGACATAAATGTTTTATAAATATCATAAACATATTACTTAATAACACGGTATTTTGTATTGTAATATCATAGAAACATTTTCAAAACATTATTTTAACTATTTTCTCAATGTTAAGCTCAATATAGTTGCAACAGAAAACTGTTTAAGTAACATATTAAAAAATATGTTACAAATTTTATTGCGAGCTTTACGTGCGCGACCGATAGATGTCGCAATTTCTCGCACTTAAGAGAAATTTATCTAGCCAAGATGAAGTCTAGATATTAAAAAGGGGCCTGATATTTGAAGTCCAAAGTCGTCTGATCGACACTCAACAGCTGAACTAATTATAGGGTGTGTTCCAACGTCAACCGAGTGAACTCTCTCTCTCCCGTTTTGCGGAGTATATTCCGCACTCATTCGCAATATCAATGACAATGAACAATATTTAACAATAATGTTAAAAGAAAGTTTAAATGAACGTTCATTCACTGTTACCTACGGAACCTACGGAACATTATATTACACCTACCAAGCAAAACATTTGCGCAACATTATTCACATTTCAACGATATTATATAACATCAAAATTAATGTCAAAGTTTGTTCATAATGACGTCGATTACAACGTTAACCCACATGCTGAACAACGTTGCTTGTTACTGGATATCGTTAATAAATTATATTAATGCTTTTTTGCTTACTAGGCCAACTACACTCATTGGAAAGAAAGAGTATTATATTACAAGGAAAATGTACAATGATGATATATCTTCGATCATTAGAGACGAGCTGTAACTTGCATAAATATGTAGAGAAAAAGGTGGGAATATGGAACCTCTCAAAATCTTGCTATTTGAAACATTTAACTGCACTTTATATATGACTGCTGAAAGTTGTTTATTAGATTATCCTTTGGTCATAAGAACGCTTGAATCACTAGCTTATTGTTAGTGATAACGATAGAGTAAAAGGGCTATTTCTCTTTCGTCGATTTCCGAATGTAAAGCCTTGTGTTCATTATCCAAGAACTGTGTCCAAGTTCTAGCTGCGAGAAATGTGTAGCTAATCAACTTGCAGCTCTTCCGTATAAGATGTAAGTTGATTGGCCACACACTTCTCGGAACTAGAACGCAGTTCTTGAATCGTGCACCCTCAGAAAGGATTTCTGTTACCGAGACAGAAAATATTCTTGACGCATTTATATTTCTCACAACCTCATTTAGTATAAAAGTAAGACAATATCAATATAAAACCAACAATTCTTATTCTCCTCTATTGAATTAAAAAAGACGACTTACTATATTGAGACAAGAGTAACTGTGGGTTTAATGTCTCATGCGTGTCTCTGGGCCTACAATGAATGCGTAAGAGTGCTGAAAAAAAGAGAATACATTTGCGATTTTTGCCAGTGAAGATTTTCTCTTGCATCCTTTTTAAGTTATTTTTTTAATTATTTGGTTCACGATAATAGTTATTTTTCCACTATATATTTTTCTACATTTCTTTAAATGAACAAAATACTATTTAAAAAGTTATTCTACGCTTTATGAATTTTTTTCATTTCCCGCACTCAAAAAGTGGAGGTCCATATTACCAGCACATTATGTCTTACCACTCCACTGCTCACTTTTCAGTTTTCCTTATACATA